GCCCATCGGTGCACGGTCGGGGGTGAGTCGTTTGGGCCCCGCCAGTGCTCTGTCGGAGTTGAGTCGTTCGGGCCCCTCATTGCTCTGTCGGGGGTGAGTTCCTCGGGCCCCTCAGTGCTCTGTCGGAGTTGAGTCGTTCGGGCTCCACCGTGCTCGGTCGGCGGTGAGTCCCCCAGTGCCCAGTCGGACGTCGCGGCGCGGGTCGTTGGGGCCCCTCAGTGTTCGGTCGGAGGTGAGTCCTCCAGGCCCCTCAGCGCTGGGTCGGACGTGAGCGTCAGTGTTCGGTCGGAGGTGAATCGTTTGGGCCCCCCCGCATTCGGTCGGGAGGTGAGTTCGAAACATTTGCAGCGTTAGCGCCGCCAGGGGCACAGGGGGGGGGGGCCCGACCCCCCGAAGGCGGACGTCACGGCGCTCAAGTTTCCCCCTGAGCGCAACTTAAAAATATTTTTTTTGCCGCGATTGAGTTTGGCGGGGGACGGGGGGGGGGGCGAACGTGTCGCGGCTATAGGGCGAAGTATAGAACGCCCAACCACTTAATTCGGCAGGGTCGACTGCCCAAAGTGTTCCACGTGGCCCACGGGGAAAAAACTAATCATAAGATAGCGCGTTTAACCGCTCGTTAGGGCGCGCAGAGGGCGGGGGGGAGGGGACGGGCACATCTTGGCATCTTAGCTCTTAACGCGCGCCGCGGGTGCCTGCGCGCGCGCGGTGGCGCGCTGCACTCTGGGAAGCGCCCTCTTGAATTTTTAACGGCATCTCGGCAACGCGTAATACGTGCAAACAAATAGGTACCAATGCCCCGCCCAGCCTACCTTATATATATATATATATATATCCTTCCCTCGTCCTTCCCTCCTCCTTCCTTATTCCCTCTCCCTCCCTCTCCTGTATTTTGCGCTGCGTACTTCCCGCGCTATGCACCGTGGACTAGTGACTAGCTAGCAGCTATGGCAGCAAACTGGAGTACAATGCACTACGTAATTCCTTCGCCCCTCTCTCTCCCCCCCCCCCCCCCCCCCCCACCCCCCTCGCACTCCCTATTCCCCCCCCTCCCCTCCCCTCCTCCCCCCCCCTCTCCTCCCTCGCTCCCCTCCCCTCCCCGCTCTCCCTCTCCCCTTCTCTCTTTCTCCCTCCCCCTCCATCTTTCCTCGTGTCTTCTCCGGCCCCCACCCCACCACTTCCTTAAGGGGCCTCGTGGGGGGCGGAGGGGGCCAGGCCGGTCGTTTCCCCCGCCCGCCCCCGGAGGCAGCGGGCGACCAGTCGGAGGTCCAGATGCTCGAGCGCCGGCGCGTGGAGGCGCGCACCGCGGCGCAGTGGGTGAAGGACGAGAAGAAAGCGTTGGAGCAGCTCGGCATCGCAGGCCAGATCCCCCATGATTTGTCGTGGTCCAAGAGGGCGGAGGTATCGCTCCGGGGCCTCCGCGGCACAGCGAGGGAAAAATCGATCGTCGACGTATGTTGGCTTGAGGAGTGCCGCAGGCGCGGTGAGAGTGCCAAGTCCCGGAAAGCATCTGCTTGCCAGGATGTTTTTTGCGACCCGTCCCAGACATTAAAGTTTGGCCGCATGCGTTCCCTGGGGACGCAGACAACTCATTCCAAAAAATATGCGCACGAGCTCGATCGCATTTTGCTGTCGAGCGATTGGCTGTCCATCCTCGGATTCCCAGAGGATGCCCTCGATTCCCTCTCATCAGAGGGCGCTCGCTTGAACCTGGTCGGCGAGTGCGTGAGCTCTCAGTGCATGGGCACATCTTTGTGGGCCATCTTGCACTACATCAAAGCAGGCGGACTTTTTGAGGATTGCGGCTCCTCGAGTGACTCGAAGGACTCGCGCGGTGGCCCGCCCGCCAAGCGCGGCAAGAGGTCGTAGCTCGCAGTCCGTGGTCCACGATTCGTGGTTGTAGTTCGCACTCGGCTCTGACTGACTCCATGTTATATGATATTCCTGGCTGCTCAGAGTGCTCAGAAGTGCCTCGGGGACCCGAGGATCGAGGAAGAAAGGTGGAGGGGGGGAGTGAGGGCGAGGGTGGAGGAGGAGGAGGAGGAGGAGGAGGAGGAGGAGGAGAAGGAGGAGGAGGAGGCGCGCCGATGGAACTGAGCTAGCAGCTACCAGATGACGCACGGCGTCCAGAGTCCTGACGCATGGCCGCATGGCGCAGGCCCAGAGGGAGGAAGAGGGAGGAAGGAGTTGGACACGGAGATGGAAGTGGAGAAGGAGGGCGAGGGGGAGGAGGAGCAGGAGGGGGGATCTGACGGAGCAGACAGATCAAGTCGATTCTGTGAGATTTTGACCCCTGCCCGCGGCCAATGGGCCCCTGGTCGCCCTCGGAGGCCCTCGGCCCGAGGCCTTCGGCGGCGCGCCGGGCGCTTGTCGATAGCTCGCGGTGGCCGGCGGCCAGCCGGGGATTCCGAGTTTCCAGTTTGCCGCATTGGGCCCGACCAAGATTCGATGACAGACAGTTGAATCGAGCAACAGGGGCTGTCAATGGGGGGACAGTCTGGCAATTTTGGCCCCCAGGGCCCAAGTCCGAACCCCGCGCCCGCAACTCATCTTCGGGGCCCCGGGGCCAGAGTTTTATGTTGGGCATCCTGTACCTCTAGTTCTTCCCCCTCCTCTTCCTCCTCCTCCTCCTCCTCATGTTTCCACCTCCTCCCCCTCCCTCCGCCTCCGCCTCCACCTCCTCCACCTCCACCTCCATCTCCTCCTCCTCCTTCTCCTCCTCCTCCTCCTCCTCCTCTAGATTCGGGCTGGGCGAAGGGGGGGGATTGGGAAAGGGGGGGTTACGAAATTTGCTGCATGCAGCTGGTTTCGTCCTCACCGAGGGGCCCATTCCTCGATGCATAGCCGCCTCGGGCGCCGGGGGGCGCCGGGAAAATCAGCTACGCGAGCTGATTCCCAAACCCCCCCTTTGCTATCCC